CATCCATCATCCATCCATCCATCCATCATCCATGGCTTTGGGAGAGTGAATTTGGTCATGGAACGTTGGCATGGAAGTGTCTCCTGATCTTCCTGCAGGCTTTCAGAAATGCTAATTCTGATTTAAGGAGTAATCAAACATAAATGTCTGTCCAATTGCACAGAATTTCCAGCTGATCTCTTCTGTTTATACAACATATCAGAAGGAGTTCTAAAATCCATAATATTTATGGATTAATTGTAGCCCTTGGAGTGTTTCCAGGCTATTTTCATATATATATTTAGGCACAATTTCAAATAAGCTCCTTCACGTCTCTTTACTCCCTTCCTTTCCCACCCCCAGGGTGGCTCTGCCTGTTCCTCCTGAGGATTAACCGGGACTTGAACGGAATGTAAAAATGATTCCAAGGGATAAATGGAGCAGATAGATTTTCACCGTGCTTCCCCTTCCTCAGGCTGCTTGTGTGACCTGTGGAGCTCATCAAGGATTGGGGTGTTCCCTAAAATGTTTCTCCTCAAATAGATTTGGAGTGTTTGGAAAGGTCCAAGGTTATGATAAATAAATAATATTTAAATATGTGATGTGAAACTAAAGCAGAATGGCCGAGGTGGGACAAAAAACAGCGGAAATTTGGGATTTCTCTCGGAATTTCAGATCTCCTGAATCCTTGTGTTGAGGGGTGGCAGATACTGGATTTTGAGGTGCAGAGCTCTGCTTTGCGGTGGGCTGGCATGGATTTAGGGATGTCTGAAGTCACCCCTCTGAATTTTAACATCTTCAAAGCTCAGGTGGTTTTTGTTCCTTCATCCAAGCCCGGTTTTGGTCCAGCTGGGGTGGGATTTTCAGCAGGATGTTGGGTTGAACATGAATCCGGTGTTTAAAGGAGAAGCCAAGTGAGGCGTCTCACCTGTCCAGGGAGGAAGAATGAGAACTGGGGAATGTCCTCAGCTGGGAAGGGTTATCCAATCCAACTCCTGGCCCAGCACACACACCCCAAAATCCCACCCTGAGAGCGGTGCCCAAATATTCCCGGAGTTCCGGCAGCCTTGGGAATGTGCGCGTTCCTTGGGGAGCTGTCCCCCTACCCCACCACCCTCTGGGGGAAAATCCTTCTCCTGATTTCCATCCCAAACACCCAGGGACAGCTTCCCTCCATCCCTGGTCCCTCCTGGGGAATTCCCAGATGGATATTCCACATTCCTGGTGAAGATTTTGGCAAATGGAGCTCATCCAGACCGTGAGGTTAATGAACAACCTCTCGTTTTTCGTACTGCACGCAGCAAAAATTCCCTCTGCTCCTCATCCTTACAACTGTTCTTGTCTTTGGAAATAAAACACAATTATTGGGATTTGAAATAAATCTGTTTATTGGGAATGATTTGATGATAGCTGAGGTCATTCTCGTGTAATGTGCAGGTTGGGTTTTACTCCAAGCCTCTCTTTAATAAATTATATATATGTGTACGCATATATATAAATAAAAATATTTTATATTATGATATATTATCATATACAGTATTATATAATAAATTATATGTATTTAATAAATCAAATATATAATATATTTAATATATAATGTATTTATATACTATATATACTAAATATACTATATATACTATATAGTGTTTATACATATACTATATATAGTATATATACTATATGTAGTACAGAATATATTATTTTATATATAAATTATGTATATATTTATATATATAATTATATATATATTTATATTTTTATATAATTATAAAATTTTTTTTATTTATATATATTTATATATAAATATATAATATAATTAATATATTTAGCTACAAATATAAATCTATATAATTTACACATATAAACCATAAATATATATATTTATAAATATAGAATCCATTTACTAAATATATAAATATATACAATTTACACATATAAAATATAAATATATATATTTATAAATATATAACACATTTACTTGATATATAAATATATATAATTTACATATATGAAATATATATATTTATAAATATATAATAAATTTAATAGATATGTAAATATTTATAATTTACACGTATAAAATATAAATATCTATATTTATAAATATATAATGAATTTAATAGATATATAAATATATATAATTTACACATATAAACCATAAATGTATATATATTTATAAATATACAATCCATTTAATATATGAATCCATTCCCTTGGATATTTAATAAATTGTGATGAGAAGACACACCTCAGTTTATTTGTGCTTTAGGAAGCATCACCACCTCAACTCCACGATACCAAAAAATACATAAAAGATTTGAGTTTGAATGGAAATTCAGTTTATTTCTCAGACAGGAGGAGGTATTTTGCTGCAGAAAGATCGTGTGGTTATTTTTAGCCCCGGGTACTGCTGAGGTGGAACAGAATATTTTTAGAGCTGTAGAAAATGCAGCCACTCAAGCTGGGTTCTTCTTTCTCACTTGGGTGCTGGAGGGGCTTTCCAAAATAAAGAGCAGAATTAGTAGAAAATGGCTTTTCTGGATAATTTTTAATTATTAAATAGGTGATCTGTTAATTGTGTGGAGATACATATTTATATATACATATATATATATACACACATTGTGTGCATATATTTTTATTATTATTTTTTATATTTATATCTATATAGTTATATTTAGTTATATATTTCTATTTATTTATATTTTTTTCTATAGTTATATTTATATTTTATTTATATTTATATTTTATTTATATTTATCATATTTACATTTTATTTATATATATATTATATTCGTATAATGTGGAAATTATGTAAAGTAATAATTAATAATCAATTAAATAAATAAATAAAATAATGTAGCAAATGTGGAAGCAGACTTTCATTGTTAATTGTCTAAAAATTGTTAATTTTTCATTGTTAATTGTCTAAAAATTGTTAGTTTTTCATTGTTAATTGTCTAAAAATTGTTAATTTTTCATTGTTAATTGTCTAAAAATTGTTAGTTTTTCATTGTTAATTGTCTAGGAATTGTTAATTTTTCATTGTTAATTGTCTAAGAATTGTTAATTTTTCATTGTTAATTGTCTACGTCGCGTTTCCTGCGGTTGGCGCTGGCGGGGAGGAAACGGATTTGAAACGCGTTTCAAAATTGAAAGTTATTTATAAAATTTTATCTTTTCTCAAAGATTCCCAACAGCAGCTTCGTGCTCCTCGTTCCCGCTCACCCCCAGCAGCAAAAAAACCGGGATAAACGGGAGGATTTTGGAGCGGGAATGATAAAAAAGTGGGATTTTTATTGTGATTATTGTTTTTATCGTTATTGCTGTATTTTTACGCTCCATGGGTGCCTTTGCTGTTGTTGGTTCCAACCCAGCACCCAAAATTCCCGTTCTCAGCCAGAAATCCTCGCTCAGCCCGGGGAGGAGTCAAAAAGTGCATTTGTAATAAAGCAAAAAATGGGGAAATTTACCGGGGATGTTGGTTGGGAACGTGGGAGATTATGAAGAATAATGAGATTGAAATGGAAATTATGAGCAGCTTGTCATTCATTATTTATATATTTATATTTCTATTATTATTTATTTATATTTATATTTATAATATATGTAATTCTAGATATAGCCGTATATATAATTATATCTATAATTATAAATATATTTACAAATATAATTGTAGATATAATTTATTTATTTATTATTTCATATATACTTTTTCTATATAATTATTAACCATATAATTAGTTATATATAATTATTAATAATTATTTTAGTAATTAAAATTTTTATTATTTTTATTATATTATATATTATAAGTAATATTTTATATATATTATATAATAGATAACTATATGTATAATAGATTTTATATCTATAAATAATTACATAATATATATTATATATATCATATAATATATATTAATATATTATACATATTATATAATTAATTAAATTAATAATTATAATATGTATATTATATACATATATAATATATGATATATAATGCACAATAATATGTATTATATATTATAATGTATACAATATTATATATAATATATAGAATAATGTATATATCTATGATAATATTATATAATATAAATATATTATATAATATATAATAATATATATAATAGCTATAATATATAATATAGAATAAATTATTATTATTAATTATTTGAAATTTAAATATTAAATATATATGATATACAATATAATATATTCTATTTTTATGGTTATTTTAATTAATATATCTTTTTAACAATTATTAAAACCCGGATTGATTTCTCTCGCTGTGTTTTTTGGTGCTCTCTTTCAGCCTCGGATAACAGCCAGAGATTTCGGGAAACCTGCTTCGCCTTCGCGCTGACGCCGCAGCAAGTGCAGCAGATCAGCAGCTCCATGTGAGTGAAATCCCAATTATTCACCCCAAAATCTGCTCCAGTCCCCGCCCTCACCTGGGGAACTCCTCTGGGTGGCTGCAGAGGGTGGGACCCCGGCTCTGAGTTTTTTGGGGGGTTTATTTGGGGTGAAATCCGGGGTTTTTTGCGTCGTTCGGCGCCGGTTTGTTTGGGAATTTATTGGGAAGGTGGGATTTTGTGGTGAGCCATTGCGGGGTTTTTTATGGTGTAAAATAAATTGAGCAAAGACTGAAAAACCTACCGAAAACACCTCCAAGGAAAACACCCCAAAAAGACATAAAAAACCAAAGAATAAAACCTAAAAAATAAATGACAAAAAAGCCAAAAAACTAAAGAAAAAACTCCAAAACCCATAAAAAAAACCAAGGAAAAAAATCCTAAAAAACCCAATCGAAAATGCACAAAAAAGCAAAAAAACCAAAGAAAAAATCCCTAAACCCCCCCCACAAAAACCCTAAAAACAACCAAAAAAAATCCCCAAGAAAATCAAAATAACAAAATAAAGAAAAAAACCCAAAAAAACCCCCAAATCCCTAGAAATCAAACAAAAAACCACCAAAACAAAAAGCAAAGTCTGGTGTACATTACCTATTCCCAAAAGTCCAAATTTTACTGCTTTTTTTGTATAAAAAAGTTTTCCATAAATTGAAATTCCATAAATTGGACTTCCAGCAAACTTTTGAAGAATCTGTATCACAATATCAATTAAATATTACTGTTAAATAATGTTAAATATTCAAATTATTATAGCAAAGATGGAAAAAAAAAATTAAATTTATTTATGAAATAAACATTAAAGAATCCTGTATTAATCAGGATATTTAAATTAATTTTCTCTTTTTTTCCAGGGATATTTCTGGGACCAAATGTGACTTCACAGTACAGGTCCAGCTAAGGTAAGGATTTTATTGCCTGGTGGATTTTGGGATTTATCAGCCAGATCCTGCCCAGCAGGATGGGAATTCCTGGATTTTCTTACCAGTGAATCCTCCTTCCTGTAACTCCACCTTGGTCATTCCATGTGCCTGGAGTTGGGAAATCCATGGGCAGGGAGGGTTGGTTTTCCTAGCAGGGATTCCTTGAGCATTCCAGGATTCCTCAGGCGCTTTGGGAATCACCAAATCTGGTTAATTTGTGGGTTTTTAATCATAAATTGTGAGTTTTTAATCATAAGTTGATTAAATTCTCTGTCTCAGCCAGGGTGGACCAGGAAAAATGGGGATTTTGATTATCCAGCCCCTGCTGGATCATGGACAGGGATGGGAGATTTTATTGCCTGGTGGATTTTGGGATTTATCAGCCAGATCCTGCCCAGCAGGATGGGAATTCCTGGATTTTCTTGTGAATGAATCCTGTAACTCCACCTTGGTCATTCTGTCTGCCTGGAGTTGGGAAATCCATGGGCAGGGAGGGTTGGTTTTCCTAGCAGGGATTCCTTGAGTATTCCAGGATTCCTCAGGCGCTTTGGGAATCGCCAAATCTGGTTCATTTGTGGGTTTTTAATCATAAATTACGAATTTTTCATCATAAGTTGATTAAATTCTGGGTTTTAGCCAGGGTGGATCAAGGAAGAGGAGGGAAAATATGGATTTTGATTATCCAGCTCCTGCTGGAACGCGGACAGGGACGATCCTGGAAGGAATCCAGGGGAGCTGAGAGCTTTTCCCGCTCCTTGGAACGCTCTTTGTCCACGGGCTGGGTTTGTCCTGCAGCAAATAAAAAAACCTCCTCTTTGAACTTGAAATAAATAAATCCCACATCAGAGGCCTGAGGATTCCCGAAACCACGGCTGGGACGGCGGAAAACGAGAGGCTGGAGGGAAGAAACCGGGATTGGGATGAGTCAGGCTGAGGAATTCCGGGAATCTGAGAAGGAACCTCCATCCTGCTTGAGCCCCTGTGATTTTGGGGGAGTTTTCCTGTTTTAGTGACCTCATCAGAGGGGTGTGTTGAGCAGGATCAGTCACCGTGGAAATGGGAAAAACAGTGGGAAAAACCCCAATTCCTTCTGGGAATTTAGGAGATGGGGATAGGAAGAGATTGAAACAGCTGGAAAAGTGAAAGTTGATGGCAGCTCTTTGTTTTTAGGTTTTGTTTATCAGAAACCAGTTGTCCCCAAGAAGATCACTTCCCACCCAATCTGTGTGTGAAAGTCAACGGGAAACCGTGCAGCCTCCCGGTAAATCTTTTTTAATAAGATTTAATTAACTTTTTTTTTTATTTTTTATACTTTTAATTAACTCATCTTTTAATAACACCTTTTGGGGTGCTTTATTAGGAGTTTTCTGCCCAAAAAAACATCTCAATCTTTGTTTTTATCTTCTGGAATGCAAAGATCAAGTGGTTTGTTTTAGCTGGTAGATCCAGAAGTTAACATGGAAGTTAAAGTTAAATATGTAAATTTTTCTAAAGTTAAATATGTGAAATTTTCAAGTTCACATTCTATTCTATTCTATTCTATTCTATTCTATTCTATTCTGTTCTGTTCTGTTCTATTCTATTCTGTTCTATTCTATTCTGTTCTGTTCTGTTCTATTCTATTCTGTTCTATTCTGTTCTGTTCTGTTCTGTTCTATTCTATTCTATTCTGTTCTATTCTGTTCTGTTCTGTTCTATTCTATTCTATTCTATTCTGTTCTATTCTGTTCTATTCTGTTCTGTTCTGTTCTGTTCTATTCTATTCTATTCTATTCTATTCTATTCTATTCTATTCTATTCTATTCTTTTCAAGTTCACATATTTAGTGATGCCAGCACAAAAAAAGGATGGAATTTTAGAGACTCTGGTCCGAAGTTTGGGGTTTTTTGTTCAGTTTTGCTGAGACAGGAGAAAAGTTCCTTGGAATATTCCGTGGGCAGGGTTGGGATTTTGGATTTCCACGGGGAGGAAGAGCTGATAAAACACCTGAGATTTTATCATATATTTTGAATTAAACACAGAATTAAACACAGAATTAAACACAGAGCCTGCTCCAGCTGTATGGGAAGGGCCAGGAGGCAAAACCACCTTTGAATTCCTTTTGTCTGAGATCCAAAATCTTTTGTTTTTTCAGGGCTACCTGCCACCAACCAAAAACGGTGTGGAACCAAAGCGCCCCAGCCGACCCATCAACATTACCTCACTGGTCCGACTGTCCACCACGGTGCCCAACACCATCGTGGTGTCCTGGACTGCAGAGATTGGCAGGGTGAGTCCCTCCAGGCTCTCCTGGGAGCTCATTCCAGCTGGGAATCCCCAGGGATGGGCGCCGAGCCGGAGCTGCGCGGAGCTCCTGCGGATCCCGCCCGGGATCATCGCTCCCTCCTCGTCCCTGCGCCTCAGGGAGGGACCAGGGGGAGAGATCCAGGCAGCTTCTCCTGGAGAGGATGGAGCAGGGAAAGCTGATGGATGGTTCAGCAAAAGATTGGGAAAATACGGAAATAATATATATAATATATAATATAAATAGATACATACTTGTATAATTATAATATATAAAAATACAATAATATTATTCTTCATTCTATTCTATTCTATTCTATTCTATTCTATTCTATTCTATTCTATTCTATTCTATTCTATTCTATTCTTCTGTTCTGTTCTGTTCTATTCTATTATTCTATTCTATTCTATTATTCTATTCTATTCTTCTATTCTATTCTATTCTATTATTCTGTTCTATTCTATTATTCTATTCTATTATTCTATTCTATTCTATTATTCTATTCTATTCTATTATTCTATTCTATTCTATTATTCTATTTTATTCTATTCTATTCTTCTATTCTATTCTGTTCTGTTCTATTCTATTATTCTATTCTATTCTATTATTCTATTCTATTCTATTATTCTATTCTATTCTATTCTATTCTATTCTATTCTATTCTATTCTATTCTTCTATTTTATTCTATTCTATTATTCTATTCTATTTCTATTTCTATTCTATTCTGTTCTATTCTGTTATTCTATTCTAGTCTATTCTTCTATTTTATTATTCTTTTCTATTATATTATTATATTCTATTATTCTATTCTAGTCTATTCTTCTATTCTATTTCTATTCTTCTATTCTTCTATATTATTATTTATATATTTATATTACTATATATCAATATAATATTAATTCCCAACTTCAGGGGTTTCCAAAGCTCGGCTTGGGCTTTGGACCCTTGGGAGCTCTGGACACAAAACTGCCCAGCCCAACCCATTCCTTTGACTTTTTATAAAATCTCTCCTTATCCCCCACGTTTAAAACCTCACCTTTTTTATCCCTTCTCGGTCGAAACTGGGATAAATCAGAATTCCGGGAATTCCTGAGCCGCTTCCAGCGCTGGCAGCAAAGCTGCTGGATGGGCACTGCTGCCTCTGCCCTCATCCTGTTTATACAAGTGCCCAGAATTGTCCTGAGGTGAAACTTTGGCCAAGAATTTGTCAGCGTGGAAAAACACTTCCGCTCCAGTCGGGCACAATGGAAAACATCGGGATTTCGGGATGGATTTGTCATAGGCAGATGGAAAACATTGGGATTTCGGGATGGATTTGTGATAGGCGGATGGAAAACATTGGGATTTCAGGATGGATTTGTGATAGGCAGATGGAAAACATTGGGATTTCGGGATGGATTTGTGATAGGCGGATGGAAAACATCGGGATTTCGGGATGGATTTGTGATAGGCGGATGGAAAACATCGGGATTTCGGGATGGATTTGTGATAGGCAGATGGAAAACATTGGGATTTCGGGATGGATTTGTGATAGGCAGATGGAAAACATCGGGATTTCGGGATGGATTTGTGATAGGCAGATGGAAAACATTGGGATTTCGGGATTTGTCACAGGCAGATGGAAAACATTGGGATTTCGGGATGGATTTCTCATAGGCAGACAGAAAACATCAGGATTTCAGGATTTGTCATAGGCAGATAGAAAACGTTGGGATTTCGGGATGGATTTGTGATAGGCAGATGGAAAACATCGGGATTTTGGGATTTGTCACAGGCAGACAGAAAACATCGGGATTTCAGGATTTGTCATAGGCAGATAGAAAACGTTGGGATTTCGGGATGGATTTGTCATGGAGTGGAAAACAATCTGTGGGTGATGGGATAAAGGCTGGCTGAGCGATTTTGGTAAAAAAGAAATGAAATCAAATCCTTTTTTTACCTAATGAGAGCTGCAGGTGTCAGAAGGAAGTTTAAAACCGGGGCTGAAGTGGATCCAGTGGATCCTGGATGTTGCTCTGAGGGATTCAGGATTCAGGGATTTAGGGACAAGAAGCATCCCAGGTTTGAGTCAGTCCCTTGGGAAGCGGCTCCCACGGATGAATCGGTTCTGAAGAGAATTTTGGGTGATTTCTGGCAGAAATAATTGGCCAAAGTTGAGTAGGAGAGGCTTGGAGCACCCTGGGGCTGTGGAAGGTGTCCATGGCAGGGCTGGAATGGGATGAGTTTCAGGATCTTTTCAACCCAAAACATCCTGAAATTCCATAAAAAAACAATCCTTCCTCATTTTTATTCTTTAGGACAAAATCCTTCCTCATTTTTATTCTTTAGGACAAATTTCTTCCTTATTTTTATTCTTTAGGATAAATTCCTCCCTTAATTTTATTCTTTAGGACACAATCCTTCCTAAACTGATTTTTTAGGACACAGTCCTTCCCAATTTTATTCTTTAAGACAATCCTTCCTGAACTGATTCTCTAGGACACAATCCTTCCTCATTTTATTGATTCTTTGGGACACAATTCTTCCCAATTTTATTTTTCAGGACACAATCCTTCCTAATTTTTTTTGATTTTTTTAGGGCACAATCCTTCCTAATTTTATTCTTTAGGACAATCCTTCCTAATTTTTTTTTATTTTTTTAGGACACAATCCTTTCTAAACTGATTCTTAATGACAAAATCCTTCCTAATTTGATTTTTTTCAGGACACAATCCTTCCTAGTTTAATTTTTAGGGCACAATCCATCCTAATTTTTTAAAATTTTTTTTAGAACAAAATCCTTCCTAAACTGATTCAAACCCATTCAGGGTTTCTCTGATCTTCTTGGTGTTTTCCCTGATGGTTTTGGTGTTTTCCCTGCTGTTTTTGGTGGTTTTTCTGACTTTTTTGGGTGGTTTTGGTGTTGTTTCCCAGAACTATTCCATGGCAGTGTACCTGGTGAAGCAGCTCTCCATCCTACCCTGCAATCCCATAGCTGTTCTGTGCTGCAGACAGGGTTTCCCTGATGGTTTTGGTATTTTCCCTGATGGTTTTGGTGTTTTCTGTGATGATTTTGGTGGTTTTTCTGACTTTTTTGGGTGT